CTGAAGCATCCTCAAAATTCCAACGTTCTAGGAAGCCTTCGGTTTTGCATTCAAGCATTGATGCGTTCAGACTGCAACATGTCATTCTGGCTTATGACCAGAAGGTGGCAGCAATACATCTCTCTTTATTTTGAGACTAACAACCAACCAAGAGAGATGTTTCAGTTGCTCCAAAACATTTAGTTCAAATGGGTCCCACCCTAGACACCATGGACACAAATATGAGTGAGACCAGATCATTGCCCTCAAATATTATATTTTCAGAGAGGGGAGAGTCAGACACATAAACAGACTACTGATTTGCTTGCTGTGTGACCTTGGGCAAGTTGCTTAACTTCTCCGTGCCTCCGTTTCTTCAATTGTAAAATGTGACTATTAAAAGTACCTATGTCACAGGGTTAGTGTGAGGATTAGAAGTGATAAAATGTGTTAAATGCTTATCACAGTGTTTGGCACATAGGAAGTGTTAACTATTACTGCATGATACAGTGAGAGAAGTGATGAGATGGCAAAGATGCCCAGCTGCTCCCTAACTGGGCAGGGCAGAGCCCCCAAATGGAGATAATGGGGAAAGGATTCCACCTTGGTGAAGCCACTCTGTCGGTGGGGAGTCTGCAGCCAGACCGGGCAGGGAGAGTCTACTTGACAACGTGGAACTGGATCCCTCTGGCTGAGGTTCAGCGTGGGTCCTGCAGGCCCAGAGCACGGAGCACCAGCAGGGCCACCCAGTGCCTGACCACCCGGGACGCACCCTCCTGGAGAGGAAGCTGCCACTGGCTCGCTGAGCAACTCAGACAAGTAACTTGGTCCCTCTGAGCCTCAGGTCCTACCTAAGTGATGGGGAGACAGAACTATGGGGACCAGGGGACAGTGCTAAGTTACACTCTAGGACATTTCAAGAGCAACTGTAAAGTCAGCCAATTCAGGGGCAGCAGGGACTCGGAGCTAGGGACTTAAAGAGGAAGCACCTAGGAAAGCAAAGGAATGTTGGGGAGGATGCTTAAGCCAATCCTAGGCCTTGAGGGCCAGGGAGACCCAACTGACACTTAGTTACAAGTAACTGGGGATACACTAGAGCAGGGGGGTAAGGCTGGGATGAGCTTGGCATGTCTTTGCACTATGACTGGTCTTTGGCCTGGCTGCGAGTCCAGCTGTGGATCTCTTTACCGTCCCCATCTCCCACCCTCTCTTGCCTACATGCACCTCCTAATCCAGCTTTGAGGCCATAGCCTGTCATTTACTTTCTTTTCTTTCTTTCTTTCTTTCTTTCTTTCTTTCTTTCTTTCTTTCTTTCTTTCTTTCTTTTTTTTTTTGTTGTGAGGACAGAGTCTCATTGTGCCGGCCTTGAGGCTGTGCATCAGCCTAGCTCACAGCAACCTCAAACTCCTGGGCTCAAGCAATCCTCCTGCCTCAGCCTCCTGAGTAGCTGGGACTACAGGCATGCACCACCATGCCTGAATAATTTGTTCTATATATTCTTAGTTGGCCAATTAATTTCTTTCTATTTTTAGTAGAGATCGGGTCTTGCTCTTGCTCAGGCTGGTTTTGAACTTCTGAGCTTGAGCAATCCACCTGCCTCAGCCTCCCAGAGTCTTAGGATTACAGGTGTGAGCCACTGCGCCCGGCCATAGCACTCTTGCCAATAACATAAACTCCCTTGCTCACCTTCCTTGTAACCCCCTGAATGCATCCAACTGTTGTTTCTCTCTAAGCCTCCACCAGAGCCACAAGGGAGGCAGGATGGGAGGGATGATAATAATACTGGCTAATATTTCCACAGCATGTACTATGTGCCGACGACTAAGTGTCTCACGTATTGTAACTCATTTACAACGCTATGAAGTAGGTCAGTGGTCCCCAACCTTTATGGCACCAGGGACCAGTTTCATGGAAGACAATTTTTGCATAGATGGGGGTGATAGTTTGGGGATGATTTAAGTGCATTATATTTACTGTGTACTTTATTTCTATGATTATTACATAATAACATATAATGAAACAATTATACAACTCACCGTAATGCAGAATCTAATGCTGCCAGTAATCTGACAGGAGGAGCTCAGGTGGTGATGGGAGGGATGGGGAGCGGCTGTAAATACAGATGAAGCTTCACTCCCCTGTGTGCCGCTCATCTCCTGCTGTGTGGCCTGGTTCCTAATAGGCCACAGACCAGTACCAGTTGTTGGCACCAGGGTTGTGGACTGAAGAGGTAAGTAATAGTATTATCGTTCCCACTGATGGATAAAGAAAATGGAGTGAACAGAGGTTGAGTCATTTACTAAAACCCAAAGCACACAGCTAATTAAGTGGAGCAGCTGATTGAACCAACGCAGTCTGTCCGGAGTCCCATACGCTAAGGAAGGATGAGGCCGCCTTCGCCTGCACCCATCAGCCAGAAGTACTTGGCTCCTCCCACCCTGCAACCAGCACTGCTCTCAGCCACTAGTACGGACAATTCAAAAGAAACCCAGCTCCTTGGAGGCTGAAAATATCACCCAGGAGGTTAATAATAATAATAGTAATACTAAAACTAGCTTACATTTTCAGCCTTTGCAATGTGTGTCCTAAGCGTTTTCCATGTGTTTATTCATTTAGTCCTAGCAACAGCACTATGAGGCAGAAGCTACAATTATCCCCATTTCACTGAGGGTCATGGCCGGTCATAGCCACGAGCCTAAATTTCTACCATAGAGAGTGCTGGGATCAGATGGCAAGCGTGGCAGCTGCATGTGGAGCCCCAGCTCTTAACTGAGACTCTTTTCTTACCTCCCCCAACAAGACCTGCCAGGCCTGCTCCTGCTGAGTAAGGAGGAGCTTCCTCTCCTGCAGCACCCAAGCTCCCAGAGCCCCGCTGAGGAGGCCCCCTGGTCCCCTCTCCTCTGAGGCATCTGGGCGTGAGCTGGGCAGTTATGCAGGGAGGGGATGGGAACTCCAGGCCCACTCCCAGGACCAGCACCTCTCAGAGGTCCAGGTTGCCAGCTGCTCCCTATAAAGACAGGGCAGGAGTTGTCCTCCCCACGCCCTGCCTGTCCCTCTCCTGCAATGTTGGCTGCCAGAGTGCTCCTGAGTAGGAGGCGACTCTGGGGCGGATGGGGCTCCAGACTAACAGCCTCTGGGGCTCGGTGCCCAGGGCTTTGGGAAAGCAACAAGGCTTCTCTAGCCCCTCCTCACACCTGCCAAGCCCCCCACCCCCATCCCAGGCAGGACCCTCCGCACTCCCAGGAGTTACTGGGGGACAGACCTTGGTTTATCCATCCCGTCCCCTCTCTCCCATCCTCCTTTTCTCCATTCCCCTGGCAACCAAACCAGACCCATCAAGGAGAAGGACCTGGCAGCTGTGCAGGGAGAGACTAATGGCCCGGAAGGAAGGAGGGGCCTGGAGAAAAGGCGGTGGGGATGTGAGCAGAGCGGCTGCTAGCGCAGAGGGCGTTGGCCCTGGCCCATCTCAGAGGACACACAAAAGGGGGAGGGATCCTCTGCCCTGCAACACAGAGGAGCTGGCCAGCCAGGGAGCCACCTTCCTCACCCCCAGACAGACATCCAGCCTGGAGCCCCAGCCTGCTCCCCCGGACACCCAGCTCTCATCCTCAGGTCCAGTCTGAGGCAGACCTGTCCCACAGGAGAGCCCTAGAGTTCAAGGCGACAGCAGCAGCCCCAAGCTCCTCCGTGTTGCAGACCCAACAGGCCTCAGCAACCTGACTCTTGCAGACTATCCTCGCTGCCTATCCACTCCTGGGCCGCCTGTGCTTGTGCTCTGGAAGCTGTTTGACACACAGAGGCCAGACATCAGCCTTCTGGCTGACTCCGGGGTGGGGGAGGATATGAAGGGCTGCGTGGTTGTGTTTGTGAGTAGAATGTGAGTTCACATAGGTACACGGGGCTATGCATGTGCATCTGTGTGCACAGGTTTGTGGATGTGTTCTGGGCCTTCTCTCTCTTTTTTCAGCCATTGGGGATGGGCACCTTCTCCTTCCCCATCTCTTCCCCGTCCAGCCCCACCCATCCCTGGGTACCTGCAACTGCTCAGTACTGGAAACCGGTTCCTGCCAGTCCACCCAGCGCTCAGCCTTGGCAGCAGCTGTTGCCCCTCAGCCCCCTCCCCTCCCTACCTCAGCAATCAGTCTGGTTCCCGGAAGGCTCATGACTGAGCAGCAGTCGGTGGGGGGAGGGAGAAGCCAGCAAACCTGGACAGCACACAGGCCCCACTCAGCCCAGCCTCTGCATGGCACAGACCCTCTCCACGGGGGCCCTGAGCTGGACCCAGCCTCCCTCGGCCCCTGTGATGTTCCCACCCTGTTGGAGCTTGGGGTAGTCCAGGGTTGGGGCTGTGTCTTTAAGGCCGAAACATCAGCAGGCAACCTCTGCTGGGCCAAGTGTTCAGGAGAGGGGGAGGGGAACTGGTCAGTCCATTAGCGGCAAAGCTGGCGCCAGGCACCAGCCCTTCCCAGGGCTCTGGGGATTAGGTAGAGACCAGCCCTTCCCCAGCCCCTCTGCCTCTGCTCTCCTGTGCCCCGTTTCTCCCTGGGTGTGGTGAAGGAGGGGGTAACTGATAGCAAGTGAAAGTAGAGCCCAGCCTTTAGGGGACAGGTTGAGGCACAAGCTCTGGGGCCTAAACCAGGCCAACTTTCCCTCCACCTGGCCTCCTCCCTATTCATGTGCCAGAAGCCTGCGTTTTAACCTCAGCAGCTGCTGTCCCCTAATTTTCACCTGCTCTTTCGGACAGAGACCCCAGCTCTAGGCAGGCCCTCCCATCCTAGGCTCCAGCTTCCTATGCTTGCTGGAAGGTGCTGACCCTACCCGGGGCCTGCCTGTGGCTGCCATCCCTGCTTTCTTCGCCGCCAGCAACAGGGAGACTCCAGTAGGCAGAGCACCAGCAACCAGGGAGGCGAGGGCGCGGCGCCCCTGCTGTTCCGCAGGGGTGGGGCATCCCCCTCCCCACCCAGCCCCACTCTCCCGGGCCGTCAGGCCAGTGGGAGGAGCTGCCCGTGCCCCCCCTGAGACCACAGGGCTATAAAGCCGCCTGACAGCGGTCTGCGGCTTCTTCCCAGTCCCTGGCCTAGCTCGGCCCACGGTGACTGCCCACCCTCCGCCATGAGCCACCACTCGTCGGGCCTCCGGGCCGGCGTCAGCTCCACCTCATACCGCCGCACCTTCGGGCCACCGCCCTCACTATCCCCGGGGGCCTTCTCCTACTCCTCCAGCTCTCGCCTCTCGGGCAGTCGCCTGCTGGGCTCGGCGTCCCCGAGCTACTCCGTGCGCCTGGGCAGCTTCCGTGGCCCGCGGGCGGGTGCGGGCACCCTCCTGCGCCTGCCCTCCGAGCGCCTCGACTTCTCCATGGCCGAGGCCCTCAACCAGGAGTTCCTGGCCACACGCAGCAACGAGAAGCAGGAGCTGCAGGAGCTCAACGACCGCTTCGCCAACTTCATTGAGAAGGTGCGCTTTCTGGAGCAGCAGAACGCGGCCCTGCGCGGGGAGCTGAGCCAGGCCCGGGGCCAGGAGCCGGCGCGCGCCGACCAGCTGTGCCAGCAGGAGCTGCGGGAGCTGCGGCGGGAGCTAGAGCTGCTGGGCCGCGAGCGCGACCGGGTGCAGGTGGAGCGCGACGGGCTGGCGGAGGACCTGGCAGCGCTCAAGCAGAGGTCAGGGGGCAGGGGGCAGGGCTGGGCGGCGGCCGTCGAGGCGGCTGCTCCTCCCTCCCCTCCCTTCCCCTCTGGCAGCCCAAGGGTGTGGTTCCCCTAGCCAACTCGGAGGTGTGCAGGCAGCATCCTCACCCGCGGGCTCCAAGCCCCTCCCCCACTTTGCTCTGAGAGTCTGGGGAGGTGTGGGTGGGGTGTCTATGCCTCCCTTGTGAAATAAGGAGACCTTCTCAGCTCCCAGCCTGTTAGTGACAAAGGGGGGTCAAAGCCATCAGGCAGCCAGAAACCCTCCCAATAGAGTCCTGAGCAGCAGCACCAGCGTGTAACCTGATCCTGGGGGGCGCGGTCTGGGGAGAAGGCGCGGCCCTAATCCTGCAGCTCGGCCTCTGCGCACTCTACCCACAGGTTGGAGGAGGAGACGCGCAAGCGGGAGGATGCGGAGCACAACCTTGTGCTCTTCCGCAAGGTGAGCGGGGGGGCCCCACGTAGAGTTCTGCCTCCCCATCCCTACCCCGGCCTGTGCATCCAGGGGTGGCATCGGTGGGTGCGCGGGGTGGGGGCAACCAGACACCTCTCGAAGCAGGCAGGGAAGGCCTGGCCCTTCCTCTGCCTAAGCAGCCCCTCCCTTCTCTTGAACCCCACTGCCACCCCACAAAGGACGTGGACGATGCCACCCTGTCCCGCCTGGAACTAGAGCGCAAGATTGAGTCTTTGATGGATGAGATTGAGTTCCTCAAGAAGCTGCACGAGGAGGTGGGTGGACCAGGGTTTCAGAGGTGGCTTTGGGGGTTGTGGGGTGGTCTCGCCGAAGTTGCGCAGAGGAAGCTCTGGAGGAGGCTGGCGGGTGGAGTAGAGGAATCCTCCTGGGGGTGAGAAGTGAGATTGGCTGGGTAGACGCTGTCACTCCACCCCCTTCTACAGGTGGTTTGACTCCCACCCTTGCGCCACCTGGTGGCAGGCAGCGGGGCTGTACCCTAGTGACCTGGCAGCTGGTTTAGTGAACACCAGGGCTCAGGTCGCGTATTTCTGGTGTCGCTGCACTACCCAGGGGCCCCCTTCTGTTCCTTCAAATGTTTCTTCTCTTTTCTGTGCGCGAACTGCGTGGCCTGCATGGGATTTGCATCTTCGGCTTGTCATCTGCCTGTCCTGGGCCGTAGGAGCTTCGAGACCTACAGGTGAACGTGGAGAGCCAGCAGGTGCAGCAGGTGGAGGTGGAAGCAACCGTGAAGCCGGAGCTGACGGCGGCGCTGAGGGACATCAGAGCACAGTACGAGAGCATCGCAGCGAAGAACCTGCAGGAGGCGGAGGAGTGGTACAAGTCCAAGGTGCGAAGAAGGCCGGGAGGGTCTGGTAAGAGGGAAATGCGGGGTGGGTGTAGCACGTCCCTGCCAGCTCAAGCCCAGGTCCTCCCCCACCGCCCCCACATCACTTGGCAGTACGCAGACCTGTCCGACGCCGCCAACCGGAACCACGAGGCCCTGCGCCAGGCCAAGCTGGAGATGAATGAGTCCCGACGCCAGATCCAGAGTCTGACGTGCGAGGTGGACGGACTGCGCGGCACGGTGAGGACGAAGCTGAGCGCCCGGGCCCGGGGAGCGGACGACGAAGGGTTCCCTGACTGCCCCTCCTGTCCCTCACCCCAGAACGAGGCGCTGCTCAGACAGCTGCGGGAGCTGGAGGAGCAGTTCGCCCTGGAGGCGGGCGGGTACCAGGCGGGCGCCGCGCGGCTCGAGGAGGAGCTGCGACAGCTGAAGGAGGAGATGGCGCGGCACCTGCGCGAGTACCAGGAGCTCCTCAACGTCAAGATGGCCCTGGACATCGAGATCGCCACCTACCGCAAGCTGCTGGAGGGCGAGGAGAGCCGGTGGGCGGCGGGCGGGCAGGGCGTGGTCGGGATGGGGCGTGGGGGCGGGGCCGGCGGGGCGCTGACCGCGTGCTTCGTCCCCAGGATTTCCGTGCCGGTCCATTCCTTTGCCTCCTTAAGTATAAAGACCACCGGTGAGTCTTCCACGTCTGGCTTCCAGCCTGTACGTCCCCTGTCCACTTCTGCCCTGATCGGTCTTTTGCTCTGGCTCCCTCAGGGCTCTGTTCTCTCCACAGAACAGTCCTGGCCTGTATCTGTCCCTACCCGCTCTTCATGCCTCGCCCCTCCCCTGCCCTTGGGGACGGGAGTGGGAGCGTGAAAGGAGAGAGATCGCAAGCCTTCCCCCTTCCATCCCTCATCCTGTTCTCTCCAGTGCCTGAGGTGGAGCCTCCCCAGGACAGCCACAGCCGGAAGATGGTTCTGATCAAGACCATTGAGACCCGGGATGGGGAGGTGAGACAGGTCCTCTGATTCCAGGACCCCCTCACTTGTCATGTTATTTCTGAGCCACAGCCTGGCTGCAGCTGATCTTAGGGTGTTGTGGGTGGGTGGTTCTTGGGGAGAGACAAGGAAACAGAAAAGGTGGGTGGATAAACTGGAGCCAGCACCAAAGGATCTGGAAGGAGGGTGGTGTTGAATGGTCCATGCCCACCATATGCCTTGGCCCCAGCAGGTGGTGACAGAGTCCCAGAAGGAGCAGCGCAGTGAACTGGACAAGTCTCCTACTCACAGCTACTGAACCCCTTGGTCTGAAGACTTCTGACCCTGCCCTATGCCTGCTCTAAGCCCAAATCCTAACAGCAAACAGCAATCCTCAATTTGTCTCCCCTCCCTCTGCATGTGTCTAAGGGGTGGTATCAGTCCTTCCTTTCCTGGCACACCGCCAAGCCCTACCTGACCAGCCATCGCTGGCCGTGTCCCTGCCTGACACAGATGTAACCCAGGTGCTCTCCTTTTCCTGTCCTGGTAAAAGGCCGATAACCTACCAGGACAAGTCTACTGCAGCCATGATCCTAGGACCAGTGGGTGGGCCAGGATCTGAGTCTCACTTCTGAATCAAGTAAAACTGCTGTCAAGAGAAACCTCTCCAGTGCATGTGTGTCTGTGGGAGTGGGGGCAGTTTCTGAGGGGAGGAGCCTCCGTCGTTCTTCCCTTTGTCTCTAGTCATTTCTTTTCTGACTGCCACTCTCTTGGTGTCCATGACTCCTCCTTACCCTCCCAGGTTTTCTGCTATCTCTCCATCCACTCCTTCTCAATGTCTAGCTGCCTGCTGGGTGTCCCACAGGCCACTCAAACTCAGCGTGTCCCAACAGAGCTCTCACCTCCCTCCATCTGCTATCATGGTCCTCTTAGGATTCCCCACCCAGGGAGAAGGCACCGCTAGGACACCTATTGCCCAAATTAGAACTCACCTCAGCGTACACACCTTCTTTTCTTCACCTACCCGCTAAGTCTATGAAGTCTACTTCCTAGCTCTCTCGCAAGTCTGTGTGGTCTCCCCATCCCCACTACCGCCCTGTAGTCCAGACACCATCAGCTCTCGTCTGGGTTATATTACCTGGCTTATCAGTGGTTTTCTTCCCCTGGTTTTGCCATGCTATCCACCCAAATCTATTCAGATTCTGCTACCACCCCTGCTTGAAGGTGTCTATTTCCACGGTGTCCACCACTTCCATTCCACGATACACTTGCTTTCATGTCAAAATCCACTTCTGGATCTAAGATTATCTTCTTTACTCAATTATGGTGCTGGAGGCAGGGACTAATCCAGAGTCCCTGTTCTCAAAGAGCTCTCAGTCTGGGGCGGAGGAGGTAGGCAAATAAGCAGACAATTGCAACCACATGCTGACTGCTCTGTCTTGGATAAGCAGATGGTGGGGTGGTAAAAGGAAGAGGAATCCCGAACCCAGTATTGTGGGGTAAGGATGGCTACCCAGGGGGGTGACATCACACTGAGCACTCAAGGATGAGCAGGAGTTAGGTGAAGCAGGGAGAGAAGAATGAATTTGTAGGTAGAGAAATCATCCAGGAGGTGAGAGAGCAAGTTTGGGAATGGAAAGAAGTCCTATAATGCTGGAGTGAAAGACAGAATGGAAGGAATGGTGCTGAGGCTGGAAAGATGAAATAAGGGTCCAGCCACGGAGGCCTTGGTGAGCCATATTAAGGCATCCATATTTTATCCCAGGGAAAAGGGAAAGAAATTTAATGGTTTTAATCAGGAGAGTGAAGTATTCAGATCTGCATTTTAGGAAGATCACTGTGGCTGAAATGTGCTGAAGGAATTGGAAAGAGATGAAAGACCCGTTCAGAGGCTTTTTCAGTGAAACATGCAAGAGATGATGGTGGGTGGGGTAGCAGGAGATTAGTTTGAGGATAGAATCTGCAGTCCCTAAGGATTGATAGGCAGTATAAGAAAAAGGGAAATAGTAAAGATGACCTGGTAGGTCTTGAATAGCCAGGCAGATACGTGGTGGTATCTTTCACAGAAAATGGGAAGATTGGAGTAGGGGAAGGTGGGAGCCTAAGACAGCAAAGTCAAGTTAAGATTTATTGAGTGTGAGTTGCCCTGGAACATCCAAAAAGAAGAGATGGTAGGCAGTTGGATCCACTGATCTGGAGTTTAGGTGGGATTGGATATTTTGAGACACTGAATTTATCGGAATGCTTTTTATTACAAGTAACAGATAACCTCTTTATATTTTAAATTTCAAAATATTAATTAAGGGGGTACAAGTGGTTTCTTACTACATGGATATCTTGTGTAATGCTTAAGTCAGGGCATTTGGTGTGCCCATCACCAGAATGCTGTTCATTGTACCCAAGAAGTAAGTTTTTGTCCCACATCCACCCTCCTGCCCTCCCCCTTCCTGGTTTCTCATTCCCTTTATATTGCTTTGTGCCTGTGTGTACCAATCTATTATTCATGAGAACATGTGGTGTGTGGTTTTCCATTCCTGAAATACTTCACTTAGGATAATGGTGTCCAGTTCCATCCACATTGCTGCAAATGACAATATTTCATTCCTTTTTATGGCTGAGTAGTATTCCATAGTATTACTTCATTTCAGTTGGGCAAGATGGCTCTCACATGTAATCTTAACACTCTGGGAGGCTGAGGCAGGAGGATCACTTGAAGTCAGGAGTTCGAGATCAACCTGAGTAAGAGCGAGACCCCATCTGAATGAAAAACAGAAAAAATTAGCAGGGCTTAGTGGCACATGCCTGTAGTCCCAGCTACTTGGGAGGCTGAGGCAAGAAGATCACTTGAGCCCAGGAGTTTGAGATTGCAGTGAGCTATGATGACACCACTGCATTCTAGCCAGGGTGACAGAGCAAGACTCTGCCAATAAATAAATAAATAAAATAAATTCTTCATTTCCTTTGCGTAGACACCCAGCAGTGGAATTGCTGGATTGAATGGTAGGTCTACATTTATTTCTTTGTGAACTCTCCATACTGTTTTCCATAGAGGTTGTACTAATCTGCAGTCCCACCAATACTATGTAAGCCTTCCTTTCTCTCTGCATCCATGCCTGCATCTATTGTTTTATAACTTTTTAATACTGGCCATTCTAATAGGGGTAAGGTGGTATCTCATTGTAGTTTTAATTTGCATTTCCCTGATGATTAGTGATGTTGAGCATTTTTTCATATGTTTGTTGGCCATTTATCTCTCTTCTTTTGAAAAACTTCTGTTCATGTCTTTTGCCCACTTTTTTTTTTTTTTTTTTGAGACAGAGTCTCACTCTGTTGCCCCAACTAGAGTGCTGTGGTGTCAGTCTAGCTCACAGCAACCTCAAACTCCTGGGCTCAAGCAATCCTACTGCCTCAGCCCCTCAAGTAGCTGGCACTACAGGCATGCACCACCATGCCTGGCTAATTTTTTCTCTATATATTTTTAGTTGTCCAGCTAATTTCTTTCTATTTTCAGTAGAGATGGGGTCTTACTCTTGCTCCGGCTGGTCTCGAACTCCTGAGCTCCAACTATCTGCCCACCTCAGCCTCCCAGAGTGCTAGGATAACAGGGCCACCATACCCTGCCTTGCCCACTTTGTGATAGGGTTGTTTAATTTTTTTCTTGCTGATTTGTTTGAGTTCTTTGTAGATTCTGGATATCAATCTTTTGTTGGATGTACAGTTTGTGAATATTTTCTTTCAGTCTGTAGGTTGTTTATTCACTCTGTTGATTATATTCTTTGCTGTGCAGAAGCTTTTTAAATTTAATTTGGTCCCATTTATTTTTATTTTTATTTATTTATTTTTTTTTGAGACAGAGTCTCATTTTGTTGCCCAGGCTAGAGTGAGTGCTGTGGAAGTGGTGTCAGCCTCACTCACAGCAACCTCAAACTCCTGGGCTCAAGCAATCCTGCTGCCTCAGCCTCCCGAGTAGCTGGGACTACAGGCATGCACCACCACGCCTGGCTAATTTTTTCTATATATATTAGTTGGCCAATTAATTTCTTTCTATTTTTATGGTAGAGACGAGGTCTTGCTCAGGCTGGTTTTGAACTCCTGACCTTGAGCAATCCGCCCGCCTCGGCCTCCCAAGAGCTAGGATTACAGGCGTGAGCCACAGCGCCCGGCCTGCCTGTGGGATCTTAATCATAAATTCTTTGCCTAGGCCAATGTCTGAAAGAGTTTTTCCTACATTTTCTTCTAGAATTTTTATGATTTTATGCCTTACCTTTAAATCTTTAATCTATCTTAAGTCTTTAATCCATCTTGAATTAATTTATTACATCTTGAATTAATTTTTGTATATAGTGAAAGTCTTTAATCCATCTTGAATTAATTTTTGTATATAGTGAAAGATAGGGATCCTGTTTCATCCTTCTCCATGTGGCTGTCCAATTTTCCCAGCACCATTTATTGAATAGGGCTTCCTTTCCCCAGTGTATATTGTTGTCCGCTTTGTTGAAGATCGGTCGGTTGTAGGTAGATGGTTTTATTTCTGGGTTCTCTATTCTGTTCATTCGTCTACATCTCTGCTTTTATACCAAATACAATGCTGTTTTGGTTACTATAACCTTGTAGTATAATTTAAAGTCAGGTAATGTGATGCCTCCAAATTTGTTCTTTTTACTTAAAATTGCTTTGCCTGTTTGGGCTCTTTTTTGGTTCCAATGAAGCTTAGGATTATTTTTTCTAGATTTGTGAAATATAAGTTTTTGAACTTTTTAGATAGGGTCTTGCTCTGTCACCTAAGCTACAGTGCAGTGGCATGATCATAGCTCACAGCAACCTCAAACTCCTGGGCACGAGTGATCTTCTTGCCTCAGCCTCCTGGGTAGCTGGGACTACAGGTACACACCACCATGCCTGGCTAATTTTTAAAAAATTTTTGTGGAGACAGGGTCTCATTCTGTTGCCCAGGCTGGTCTCAAACTTTTGGGCTTAAGCTACTTTCCCGCTTCAGCCTCCCAGAGTGCTGGGATTATAGGTGTGAGCCAGCATGCCTGGCCTAGAAAGGAAATTTTGAAAAAGGAGAGACTGGACCAGAGTTTTTGAAACTACAGGTCATGAAACATTGTAATTTAAATTATAGGTCAAGGCTGAGAGAGGCGGCTCACACCTGTAATCCTAGCACTCTGGGAGGCAGAGGCAGAAAGATTGCTTGAGGCCGGGCGAGGTGGCTCACGCCTGTAATCCTAGCACTCTGGGAGGCCGAGGCGGGTGGATTGCTCAAGGTCAGGAGTTCAAAACCAGCCTGAGCGAGACCTCGTCTCTACCATAAAAATAGAAAGAAATTAATTGGCCAACTAATATATATAATATAAAAATCAGCCGGGCATGGTGGCTCGTGCCTGTAGTCCCAGCTACTCGGGAGGCTGAGGCAGGAGGATTGCTTGAGCCCAGGAGTTTGAGGTTGCTGTGAGCTAGG